CTTTAGTCTCGTGACGAGTGCTTAACATGTAAACTACTGATCCGGCATCTAATAGCATACATTTCTAACTTCAATGAATTCATGATATTATACAACTACTCATGAATGGGATAGATGGATGGATGGATAACTACCTCACACTCAACAAGGTTGAATTCCACCGAAAACAATGAGAGATGATTATACAATACACTAAACCAATTACAATTAGACAGTATAAATCATTTTAAGACAGCTCAGTGGTCGAAATAGCAGAAGCCCATCGAGAGACCTGAAGATTATGTGGTTCGATTCTCAGTGAGGTTGTGAATATGCATTTTTAAGGAAATCCATACCACGTGTTGCATATGCCTGAACACCGATTACCACGACTCGCAATGCTGACTTGTGTTAGGGTTGGTTGGAAGAAAGTTAGGGGTGGCCAAACCAAAACGTGGCATCATTACTTGAAGTCACTAACTTCTAGTATTAGCCATGTTGGTGGATGCAGATTACTTGGTTGAGGTCCGCGTGATTATCGTAACCAATGATTGGAGACTCTGGGTGACATGGCTCAGAACCGATCACAATGGCGTCGGTGTATACAATCTCTGTCTTCCTTTAAACTATGAGATTAAAATCACTGTTTGTCTTTCTTTCTACGAACTAATTCTTTCTTGCTATACTATATCCTTATATGCGATCTTTCTTTTATATATTACCACCATCGAAGTAATTATCTCTATGAATTCGTTGTTCATCTTGTTGTGCTAATGCGGTATGTCAACTTGGACCGATACATATCGATGTGCCTGGTTCTACATTGTAGCCTATACTGACTAACTAACTGACTTTCCTGTTATATCCGAGCGAAGATTAAATCACGAGTAACTTCTGAGACATTAATTGACTAATATTATCTATATATTCTTACGGTGTAATTATTTAATAGTTAGATTATGTATATTTATATTCCCCTTATCATAAGCTTCACTTTGACCTATAATTTATCATTGTACGATTTACTGTCCCTAAATTATGCTCAGTTTATTAATTACTGTCTCCCACATTCACAGCCACTTTTTGGCCTATTTGTGTACACATGTTAGTTTCTATTTTATGGTACGTTGTGGTCTGCCTGATTGATATATAAACCGAGTATGTCTGAAATAAATGATTTGGTTCGATTTTGGTTGATTCAGAAGCTGGTATTGTGTTCTGGACTCAAGCGAACGGATTAGAAGGACATAGGACCCAATAAGGACGCTAGACTGCTCAGACCGGTTGAACGTCATTGGTCTTGTCATAGTGCAAATATTCGTATAAGCCGTATTCTGATTGATGTATAAGTCACGTGATCGTAAGCCGGACATCAAATCATAACATTTCCAATTTCCAATGGTTATCTAACTTTGATCAATTCATGATCACAATAAAAAAATTCAATGAAATAATTAAAAACAAAAGAAAAAAAAAGTTGGAAAGAAAAAAAAAGAAAAGAAAAGAAAAGAAAAGAAAAGAAAAAAGAATAATAACTTACAAAGAAATCTACAAGTTGTATCACTATTTCACCTTGACGTTTTCTATCTAATATATTCTCATATTTTCTTTTATGTTCTTCTTCTAATTTTAATAAATCATTTGGAGATAATGTAGAAGTTTGTTTTGTAACATCTGGTACACTTCCACGTTTAATACTCTATGAAAAATAAAAGAATAATCAAGAATTCAATGAAATTATCTATAAACAAACTAATCAGATAATAAGTCATTGATTTTGGCGCAAGATTCATTCATACATTTGGTTAAATAATGTTTTAATATTATAGCTAATGGTAATTCGTGATGAATATTGTAAATCTAATTTTTAATCGCTAATCATTAACTGCAAATGAGAATTTGAATTCCTTACACTAATTTATAACCAATAAAATCACTTTAGTGTCGCTCAAAGATCATTCATAAATTATCGTCTCACCATCAGTTCTATTCTACAAGTGATTAATTAGTGAGCTTTGGTACAGCCGAAAATGGGAAGAGTCAGCTCTCACTTTCGAAATGTTCTCACATAGCCATATGCATACAACCACTACTACAAAAGTCGTACTCATTGCCTTCTAGCGGCATTACTATTGTTTATGAAATCAAGAGGATGAAATGTGAATGTCCGGCGCTCTAACCGGGTTAGTGGACACAGAGGATCCAATTAGGGGAGTTGGAAAACCTTCATTCCAAACCAATGCTGTACATGGACTCCAGTATCCTGAAGGAACAAATGGCGTATGAACCTGTTGTTGGTTACCGGCTACTACGTTTCTCCAGTGCCTTGTGGATAAGACATTTAGGTCGAAGGTTCAGGGTACGGCCCCCTAAGAAAACCACCTGCTTTGATCTGGACATCCGTGCAGTATCGTACCCTACACACAAATCAAGTGACTTGTGTAGCGCATATATATAGTCGGTGACCATTTGTACCGATATTTATGTGTTCAAATATATAAATAAAACTTTTGAGAGAATATTCTCAGAACATTAATAAATCAAGATCAAATTTCTTATGTGTGGAGTTTCATTCTTCATATCGAATCATAAATTACGGAACTTCTTTATTAAAGTTGATGATGTCAAGCACCTTTTGTTGATATATTCAAAGCAATAATATATCTTCATAGTACCGTAAATTAAGTGGATTAACATTGGTTACTTGACCTCTTACCATTCTGCCTGAAAACTGAAGATTAATAAATTTATCATGTTCTTTAAAACGACGAATTGATACATCTATACTACTCCAAAGCAAGATAATAAGCAACAGGAGTGTAGATTTATCGTGAGAAGTTACATAGTATTTATAGATTACATATTCATAACCTTCAATCATCTAATTGTATTTTTCAGTATTTTCTGCAGTCTGATTAGTCTTCTCATCTGGTTTTAAAGTATTTTGCCAACGTCGAACCTCGAATGAACTGAAACTCTTTATTTCTACATACCACTTACAAATGATCTTGTGAGCGGCATCCACTACACTACTTCTGTAATGATTACCAACACAAGTGGGGACAATTACAGAATCTCTTAGAAAAATCTGGGAATTATACAGCGAATACTTCCTTTACAAAATGTCAACCAATTGTCTCAGACTTCACTATTCCTTCACTTCCATACCAATAGCTTTCTGGTCCCATTCTTACTTTCTCGATCATCTGCCGCCAGACATTCTATTCGTGACTAGTGTTATATACTACTTATGTCGATATGAATAGCAGATACCACACCAACTAGCACCTCAGTTGATGGCCTGCATTGTCATCTACAGAACTGCACTCTTTCCTTCCTCTTGATTGACAGAGACACCAAATGTAATGAACGAGAACACAAATGGGGACAATCAAATGTGTATTTCAACACAAAATTACAGAACATCTTAGTAAAATCTGAGAATCATACAGTGAATACTTCATTTACATAATGTTAATCAATCTTCTCAGACTTCACTGTTCCTTCACTTTCATACCAATAGCTTTCTGTTCTCATTCTAACCTTCTCGATCATCTTCCGCCAGACATTCTATTCGTGACTAGTGTTATATACTACTTATGTCAATATAAGTAGTACACATCACTTTTCAAAAATATTACCATTTATATCATATAGATAATATTATGAAAACAAAACAACCGATTTATTCACTACTTACTTGTGATAAATCAATTCTTGATTCTTTATAATATATTGGTAATGGAGTTAATTGATCTTGTGGATCTTCAAGCATAACATTAGCTACAACTAATGGTGATTGATTAATTCTTGAATGAGAATAGTTCTGTAATGTATTTGTCATTGTAGACATTACATTATTAATATTAGTATTAGTATTAGTGAAAGATGAAGTTTGTATATCTTTATTAGAATTAAATAATATAGTTGTTTGTTTTAATGAATCTAATTTACCTGAGTTACTCATTGAATTTTGTTGTGATAAATAAGTAAATGGAAATGATTCATGATGAATAGAAGAATAAGCATGAGCTCTTTTACGTATACCATTATCTGTAAAATAAATAACTGATGAATCATTAAAAGATTGTTCATATTTATGAATAATTTTATAATCTGAATTATTTTGAAATGATTGATTATAATCCATAGAAATTGATTGATTGTTACTAGGCTAAATTTTAGTTTCCATTTAAAAATACAAAAAAAAAAATTTATATATGTCATTGATTAGAATTAAAATCAATAAATAAAAAGTTTAATCAAGTAAAATCAATATTTAATTTGTTAGAGATTTATAAATTAAATGTTTACTTACCTTGGTACTTATATATACTTACTTACTTACTTACGCCTGTTACTCCCAATGGAGCATAGGCCGCCGACCAGCATTCTCCAACCCACTCTGTCCTGGGCCTTCTTTTCTAGTTCCATCCAATTCTTGTTCATTTTTCTCATATCTATCTCCATTTCCCGGCGTAATGTATTCTTTGGTCTTCCTCTCCTCCTTCGACCTTGAGGATTCCATATGAGGGCTTGTCTTGTGACGCAGTTGGGTGTTTTCCTCAATGTGTGTCCTATCCACTTCCAGCGTTTCTTCCTGATTTCTTTCTCCACTGGGATCTGATTTGTTCTCTCCCACAGTAGGTTGTTGCTTATAGTGTCCGGCCAGCGGATCTGAAGTATTTTGCGTAGACAACTGTTAATAAACACCTGTATCTTTTGGACGATGGATTTCGTAGTTTTCCAGGTTTCCGCGCCATACAGTAGAACTGTCTTGACATTTGTATTGAAAATTCTGACTTTGGTGTTGGTTGCTAATTGTTTTGAGTTCCAGATATTCTTCAGTTTTAGATATGCTGCTCTTGCTTTGCCAATCCGTGCCTTCACATCTGCATCAGATCCACCGTGTTCATCGATGATACTGCCCAAATATGTAAAGGTTTTTACATCTTCCAAAGCTTCTCCGTCAATTGTGATTGGATTGGTACATGTTGTGTTGTATCGAAGAATCTTGCTTTTCCCTTTGTGTATATTGAGACCTATTGCTGCTGAGGCTGCAGCTACACTGGTTGTCTTCTCCTGCATTTGTTGTTGTGTATGCGATAGAAGAGCCAGATCATCTGCAAAGTCTAGATCATCCAATTGCATCCTAGCTATCCACTGTATCCCGTGCTTCCCTTCAGATGTTGATGTCTTCATGATCCAGTCGATCACCAGGAGAAAGAGAAAGGGTGACAGTAAACAACCCGGAAAGGGGCTCCAGGCGGAGTTACTTATATATACAATTCAGTAATTAAGTGTAAATCACTTAATCTACTTGTTAGTGATCATTTACTCATGTAAAGGCTGATTACTTACTTAGTTACTGTCAATAGAGAATAGACCGCAGACTAGCATTTTTCAACCCATACTGTTTTGAGCCTTCCTTTCTACCTCTATCCAATTGTTGTTTATTCTTCTCGTGTTTGTCATCATTTTTCAGCGTAATGTGTTCTTTGATCTTTCTCTTCTCCTTTGGCCTTGAGGATTCCAAGTGAGGGTTTGCCTTGTGAAGTAGTTGGAAGCTTTCCTCAATGTGTATCCTATCCCCTTCCAGCACTTCTTTTTACGCTGGAATCTGGTTTGTTCTCTTTTACAGTCGGTTTTTGATGATAGAGTCTGACCAATGGATCCGAAATATTTCGTAATTCTCCAAGTTATTGAACAATATGATTAAAGACATTCAATGACATGGCTCAAAATCGTTTGTGATGGTGTGAGCAGGTGCATCCATTCTTTGTGTTCTCCCGAATTGTAGTCTTCTGAATTCTTCATGTCCCTTCATTTTTTTCTTTTTCCAAATTTATTTCACTGGATTATACTCATTGAATAACATCTTCAAACCCGAATCTTTCTGATTACTACTTATACTTTTACTATCTCTATCACTACGGGATTTGAATCGACAATTGTATCTCTATGCTAATTTTGTATGGGAACTTGAACTGATGTATGTACGTACGACGTTCTACGACTGATAGTTTATGTAATAAATTGGAGTTAACTAATCACATGAATGCAGACACTCATGTCCAATGATTTATTAATAACCAAAGTATACTGACACGAATATTGAATAGTAAAAAGTGAACGATTCTATTTTATAAATTGAAGTAGTTTGTTATATTTGATATAGACAAATGTGTGGCAAGACTATAATTTATGGACGAACCAATCAGATCTAAGATACCAAGTCTTGAATTTTGGCGCGAAATTGTTGAGGACGTTGGATTTCGAGAACTAACTTGGAAAAGATCCTAATCTTGTAATTTTATTCTGAAAATTTGAATTATATGTTTTCGCGTCAAGAGACGCATAGTTGATCTACAGCTTACATTTCCCATCAGGAAATCCTTGACCGTCATTGGTTGACGGATTTTTTTGGTACGCTATTTCGTAGCTCTCCCAAAGACGTTTCTATCATTGTATAAATAAGTTTGATTTGTGTGCGTAGTGACCTCGTATATTCTATGTGCTTGTAGAATGCATTCTCTACGCCTCATCAAGACTTTTTGGTCTAGTTAGTAGGGCCAGGGACAATGGATCAGAATAGCCTATTGTATTACTGCATCTTTGACTTTCGTTCGATTTACCGAGTAAGGTGAACTCGTAATAGCATTCAAGCATATCAGAAATTCTTTAAATCATTTAGCTGAATACCACTTCGGCATTATAGATGATGTTAGTTCATGATGAAAACATTGAATCTAATTTCTAAATTTAACATTCAACTGTAAATCCTAATCTTGATTGCTCACTTTTCTAAAAAACAAATCAAACATATTATTAAAATCATAAATCGATCCAAGTGAGAAAAAAAACTGGAAACACTACGTGGGAATTTTGTTCTAGTATAGAACTCCTCAGTCACAGTATTCATCTAAGTCTCTTAGGCCAGGAATCGAACCCAAAACCTTCGATCTCGGACAAGTGCACTTATGCATATATTCCAAATATTCACAAGTTAAATGTTTATATTACACTATTTTATACGATTTTGTTACTGTAATCAAATCCATATAGTTTTGTCATCACTGTTATTATTACGTAATGATGATAAAACCCCGCCTGGAGAATTCATGGGGCTACTGCCGGTCTCAAGCTCGGATAAAAAAGAGAAGGGTCGGGTATGAAGTTAGCGATTCCATCCTCTAGGAAACTAACTCGCTACAAAAAAATAACGCTAACCAGTAATGATAATAACCATAATAATGCATTACCATGATTCTATTTTCTTGAAGTGTTGTTAAATTTGAATATTTACTTAAATCTAATGGTGGTTGTGTTAAAAATCCTGGTAATGTTCTACGTCGTACAATTCTTTTAGATGATTCACAATTCTCTGAAGTACGTGGAAATGTAGCAATTTTTGCATCATGACTTAATGGTTTCAAATGATCACCATCATCATCATCATCACCACCACCATGATCATCAATATATCGATTCGTTTTATGATCCATAGATTGATTTCTGATATTTGATTTAATTCCATGAATATTTTGTGATTCAATTAATCTTTCCATAGAATGACGTTTTTCATTATATAATGATGATAATCGTTTTGGTGTAATTTTATAATGTCCAAAATAATCATCCATTACTGTTGTATTTGACATTAATTTATTCAATGGAATTGTTAATGGTTCTGATTGAGGTTTAAGAATGTTAACTAATAAATAAATAAACAAAAGAAAAGTTTAAAGTAAAAGGTAAAGTATATCATTCATAAACTAGGTATGTAGATAGTGTTTGTTACAGATTGATCTGTGTAGGCATCGAACTCCTATCCGTTTGGCTTAGCAACAAACGTCCAGTTAGTAAAACTTCCAGTCTAATGTTAAATAATAGAATTCCACATTTTAATCAATTTCTGATATACTACAGTTGTTATTTGATAGCATTAGTAACAACTGTTTCATTTCTGATATGTCTACATTCCATCGTTCACAAATTCTTACTAGAACTTCAGTAATATCATGAAGTAAACTACCAGTAAGCTGATGGTCATATTTTTATGTGAAATGATTTTGTGAAGATGAAGTAAGTTTGTCAATAGTGTCCATCAAATAATCTTTCTACTATTGTTAATATGTTTACTTTTATGACGTGTATTTTAAGTAAATAAGTGAAGAAAAGTTAGAATAAACCTAGTCTTGAGTATGCTGTTAGAAGTATGACGGCGGTTATCAATTCCCGATTTTCCACACCGTGGAACGGTTCTTCTGGAGGTACCTGAGAAGGACATTGGGTTAGAGGTCGTCTTAGTGACCTGATAGCGTGACCGCAGTGCCCAAGGGACAACTGTTTGGGATCAGTCACACATGACATTTTCATGAGTAATTTTCGTGTTACCTTACCGCCTGAGACGGATATCCGTGAGATAAGGTCAGGTGTACATTTTTAGGATCGATGTTTTCTAACCTTAACCCTCCTTGTAGGAAGGCAGAGTCTCTGTTATGCTGATTATCTGAAGGAAACACTTTACTGTCGTCACACCTCTGTACAGTCATCAGTACGATATCACCCTCGAAACTTGGGTTTACTTATTTAATCTTACAGTTCATCAACCGACCTGCCTGGCATGGTAGACCCTTGAGGAACGATCGTCCTATCTAGTATAGCTCGATTGGTTCGTCACGATAGGCAAGCTCGACTACCACGTCACAGTAGCAACAATAGTCGACATTAGAAAAATTGTTAAAACAAACAATTGTAAGGTTATCGTATATTATAGAAATGAATATTAGTTAAATGTCATATGATTGAATTCTATTATGATAGCAATAGTATGGTTGACAAACTAAATGTCTCATTCACTTACACATAGATAAACATCAATAAAAAGATGTAGAGTCAAACGTATCAGAACTAACTTATTGAATTTAGTGGTAAGCTCACTTCTACATAAAATACACATTGATGATATTGTCTAGAATGAAGATGAAACCTTATCAAAGAACACAACACTATCAAATTAAGACAATACCTTGTCAATGGCTACACTTGTAAGCATTTTAAGTTGATTTTAACTTAGGTATTCGATTCGAACGTTTGAATCTTCTATTACTCAATCCATATAAGGCATATTTTCGAACTCCTCTTAAAATAATTTGTTCGGTAGACCCAGTTACTATCACCAACTTATATGTTAAATGTATCGATAATTAAATGATATCAGGTTGACTACTACTAGACTATCGCTAATAATAAAAGTTTAAGCGGTATGTTTCATTATCAATGATGACACTTTAGATAGTTATTGTTACGTTCAGTACTTGGTTAACGCAGAATACAGTAATACGACTACAGCATTCAAACGTATAGAATCCCAATAATTGCAAATCAAAAAACAAAAGTACACTGGAGAAGTGCTTATTTATAGATATTAGCTTTTGTTATAACATCATTCTAATTCAGTCAATCCTTAAAGAGGAATGTTATGCTTACTGGCCAATAGTAGCATGTTACGTTGATATTTTAGAAAGAGCTCCATCACATTCCGATTGGATGGAAACTCTCCGAATCCTTTAAGGCATCTTGAGACTCCGTTGTAGTTCTCAAAAGCCATCCCAACAATGGTATCCCTATAAATATTCAGTTCCATACTGAAAATTCATTTTCGTATGTATCACTTCATATACTAACAGTTAAACAATTCAAATGTGATAAAACGATTAGTTCAATGTTAAAAGGCTCTAATAATCCTGTTATCTTTTAAAATGGAGCTAAACATCTTTTTTCACCCTCACTCTTACCCTTACCCCCTCCATCGTAAGAAGGCAATAAGAATGGATACATTTAATAATCATAAATAGAAAACTGATATAAACTTTACTTACATGTTGGTAAAATGACATAATTTGATGCTTCTGATGAACTACGTGTTGTACGACTTTCTCCTTCTATTGAATCACATTCAGATGATATATCATTATCTATTCTATGAGTATAATAATGAAGATTTGGTACATGTAAACTATTCTCTGATGTTGTTGTTGTTGTTTTCATCATCATAGGATTAGTGAACTTATTATTCATTATTGATTTATCATTATTTATTTGTTGAGAATATGAACAATCAACATTCACTTGTGGTATTTGAAGTGTTAATGATTTGCCAATATCATTTCCAGTCTAGAAAATAAAACAATGAAAGATAAGATATGAATATACAATAGATTTAAATTAGATAATAGAACAATGATTAGTATAGGAATTTCATCCTGACTGATGATGCTACGTTAATGTAGTGGTCAGGTTTGCTTATTATGATGAATCAATCAAGGTATACCGATTGAAACAATCATTCCTCAAGGTCCTACCATACCAAACAGATTGGTTGAACAGCGGTAAGACTAAAAGCAGAAAACACAAGTGTTAAGTCGGCTTTCCGAGAACTGCAACAGAGCCTCCGGAGGCCCTGTAGGAGCCAAAGAGTCTTAGCCAATCAGAGCACGATGGAGCTTTCTAGAATGCCAACGTGACGTGCTACTATTGGTCAGTAGCATAATATGTCTTTTGGCGGATTGGCCAAAATATGATGTTGATTCAACAAATGTTAACATCTATAAATACCCATGTTTTTCTGTACAAAAATGGAACCTTGAAGTAAAGTACTTTTCGCATACTTTGCGCCTTCTCTCTCGTGTTCAGGTCGCTGTACAGTTCTAGCTTGGGAGTCTTCAAGAATAGCTTAGGAATCGAGTATAGCGTTCAAAATCTCAAGACTTATCAACAAGGTCCAAGTGAGAAGTCGTACTGCTGACTGTACAGATGTGTGATGGCAGATAATCAGCATAACAGAGATGCTGAGTTCCTATAAGGAGGATTGGGGTTAGAAAAGGACGATCCTAAAAATGTACACCTCACCTTATCCCACAGATATCTGTCTCCGGCGGTAAGGTCTCAACAAGTACGGGGCTAACACGAAAATTACTCACGGAAAGTTCGTGTATGACCGACCTTAAGCAGTTGTCCCTTGGACACTGCGATCACGCCCTCAGATCACTAAGACCATTCCTAACCCAATTTCCTTTTCAGGTACCTCCGGCTTATCTGTTGAACTTTTATGAAATTTTTTTCTTTTCTGAACAAATACAAAGCTAGAAGATCTCATGATCGTTACTAGTCATCCTGTTCTTATTTCCCATAATTTACGGTATATTCTCTTCACTGATGTTATGACAGTAGTGATGATAATGCCAATGTCAAATTGAATTAACTTAACCTAAAGAATAGAAGAAAAGGTACTGATGAAAAAAAGAAGACTAGAATGAACTTTGTCCACTTCATCTTAATAGTAGGAGTATTTTACATTTTATTGACATGAATGATTAATAGAATGGTGAATAGCCTTGACCGACTAAGTCCTATTTGGCACTCATCAGCTGTATGTAACTGCATCTCAGAGTTTTTGCTCACTCCCGAACTTGAACTCAGTAACGTTTGCTTCAAACGCCATCATGTTGTCCACTTAGCTACTGAGTTCTTATAGCCACTGGTATCTACAATGAGGTGAAGTTTAAATTAATTTGGTATTGTTTACTTGAATCTTTCTATTGATGATTAAGACTGCAATCGATCAGTTTCTTATTGACATATGTGCATCTTGTGCATAGTGCCTCGATATTGCCTTAATTCATAAGCATTCTAAGCAAAGATAGATAGTGACTATTAGTGGAATCAGACGTAAAAGAAAAGAAAACTTTCTCCTTTAAACGAAAAAAGGATTCTAGAAGATTTTCTTTAACAGTTTCCTATTTCATTCTTTCGTATTGTTAAATTATCTAGTGATGAATTTCATAGTTTAATTGATGAGTCGATCTAAGCTAGACCATCATTGAAAACCTAGAAGTAATGAACAGCCGTTTCGTTCTAGCATGGGACTCTTCAGCAGAATGCGTACACGATCCCACACCAAAGGGACTCGAACCCACCACTTTCTGTGTTACACGCAAATGCTCAACCCGTACACCACTGAAATGGCATACAACAATGTTAATGTCTCACTTCAATCGATCCATGATCTTACTCAACCCTTCATCCATTGTTTCAAGTATATAACTGTTTCACAACCAACTCCACTGGCCATGTCTTCTGATGAATCATGAATTCAATTGATAAAATTATTACAATCTCCAAAATCCCGCTTTGTGGTCATAAAAATATATATCTCTAATAAGAATTTATGATGTATGGCGGCCCGGATAGCTCAGTGGTAACGTCTGTGACTGTGAAGCTTGGTGACATGGGATCGAACCCGTCAGAGATCATCAGGTACACCTGACTAACGAGTGTCAAGTAGCACGAAACCTAGGTCCAGGGTTTCTTGTTAACTACTTCCAACCACCATTTTATCTCAATATAATGCAATCACGTAAACTAGTGGCTAAATGAAGACTTGATCGATAGGATTCGATCTGCACTAAGAAGGACCTGACATATATGATATTGATTCAGCTTCGCAATTGAACTGACTACTTGAGTGAAAGTACAACCATCATAATAATATGTTATCCACTTAGCTACTGAGTCCTGATGGCCACTGGCTTGTACAATGGGGTGAAGTTTAATAATAATCTATAATCAACTTACTGAATATTCAATATTTTTCATTTCAATTGAATACATCTTATCATTTCCATATTTATGTTTATTTAATTGATGTTTTGTATAATGTTTTATAGAATATGATCCAGATCTAGATAATGGAATATTATTATCATGATTGATTGATTTGATTTGATCTAAATCTAATAATGGATAATTTAGATGAATCTGTTCATGATTCTCTTCTAAATTTTGTTTATTTAATTCATTTTGTTCAATTAAATGAGCTTCAACATTAGCTATTATATCTTTAGCTGATTGTAATGCTGTATTAAATGCTTGATTACCTCGTTTTGTTATATTCATAAGACGTACCATATCTTCTAAATATTTAATACCTTTTTTAATAAAATTTAAATAAAGAAATAATTGAATAATGAATTAATACCCCGAAAAAAACAAAAAAAATAATGGGCGGGACTCTAATTTAGGGACGACCTTTGAACGAATTTTAAGTGACCTTGCGAATAATAGCCAATCAGAAGACAGCTAGTATAACGTAGAAATATATTAGAAGATACTAATGGATTACAGTGAATATACTTCTTTTACATGATTTAAAAACTTATCAAGGTTTGCTAAAATTTCAGATGTTTTGAAATCATATTGCATACGGTATAAAAAGTCATAAATTCCAAGTACCTGTCGAGTATATTTACGGAAATGCTACTTACACAATCCTACTTTATACTACGTCCCTTGTTGTATTTTCGCTTTCTCACTGCCGTTTTATCTGTCTGCACAATACATCCTACTCCTCCGAATGATTGGTGTATACGTGTTATTTTAGTTGCACATATGTCACGGCAGTACTCATACCACTGGACTGCTAAAGTTTCAGTAACAACTGCAAACGCCACAGCTAGTGTTACTGGTGTCTTTATTACCCAATTTGCAACTATTATCATAATCTGATTCAGTTTCAGTAGCAATCGAACGAAGAAAGTCACCGTTCTAGCAGACTTTCTCCTCCAACATGAAGGACAACGAAATATAATCTCACCACGGTTATTTGCACACTTTACTGCAGTCATTTGATAACCGCAGTCTCACGTACAAGAACTTTTTAGTAATCCTATCCCTTGTAGCCTCTCAATAATCACCTCTTCTCTAAAATCCACTGTAAACCGATCGTATGTGAGCATCAGGTGTTAAACTTGGCTCCGTGACCTTTAAACGGCTCAAACGCTTCTGATTGGCTCGTCCCTAAATTAGAGTCTCGCCAAAAAATGATAATGTCACAGGGTTAATCAATATGAGACTAAACACTGCATTGACAAAAACTTATCCAGCAGTTAAATGGATTGTTCTATCCAAAATAACATGTTCTTTGACGGAATCAAAGGTCGACAAGTATCCCTTTCATGTGACCACCAATTGTGTATACAAATTTACATGTATCTGCCAAAGCAGTTATATTGGTAGAATAGAAAGGAGAGTCTACGTTCAATTCAAAGAATATATTCCGACGGGGTTTGAGATCAAATGGACCAAAAACATTTAGCAACTTTATTGCAAGACATCTCGTTGACACAGGACACGAAATCGATATACTGAAGTCGTTCAAGGTGGTCAACAAACGAAGCGATAGCAATCAAACGTTTAAAACCAAATCTTTGTATACAAAAAGAAACAGTAATAAATCTTTCTTTGCCCTGGTAATATTACCCACCCCCCTCTTTTATTTATTACGTCATTCCAACTCTTTCCAAAAAAAAAATTTTATAATTACATCATTCATAACTGACCAATTTCAATGCATATCTCTCTTTATTACCATTAATCTATTTTCAGTGTTACTTCATTACATAATCATCTAATGTGTTTTTTTAATTCCATGAGTTCTAATCCCTATTTCTATGTTATGGAACCTTCCCTCCCAAACTCTATATATATTCGAAACAAATTTTATAACCTCATTATTTCTAACAGCACCTTTGCTACATCATGCTCATTCTTCATCACCCTCTGATATATGTCAATATCTGTAATAACGTTGAATTACAAATATTTTTGGGTTGTAAGCAACTGATGAGAACCTAACGAAATAAAATGAATTCATTTATTATTCTTTTGCACCAACTTTTGTTCTTGCTCTCTGGGGTATTTTCTCAATACCCCAACACCTCCCCTTCTTTGAAGAGCCGAACCTGATATCCGGAATATAAGTTTCTCGGGTCCATCCTCCCCCACGAAACAATGTTGGGTCTTCATGGGTATTCAGAAAATACCCCAGAAATTATCTAATGCTATTCCTGAATGAGAAGTAGTGTCATTTCCCCATTGGTCAACATTCTTCCAACGTGTCATCTCCTTATTGGTCAATATTTATTTGTGTCATTTCCTGAAGGTCAAATCTTGTACAAATGTTACTTTCTATTTATGGTACGATGTAGTCTGTTTGTTTGGTATATAAACAGTGTATGTTTGAAATATAACGATTCATATCACAGAGGCTAAGATTTGTGTTCTGGACTCAACTGGCTGAGCTAGACAGGGGAGCAGGGCCAATCAGAGCTCTAGGCTGCTCGGTCGTATTTTGTGCGTCACTGTTTCGATCGATAATAGGCTGCTCTCTAATAGGCGGATCACACATTATAACACTCTCTTTAAAAAAAAATTATCTGAATTAATGAGTTAATATTAGTTAGATCATGATTGAAAATCTTGAAGAACTAGATGATTGTTTTGTTTTATTGTAGGATTCCTCAGTTGAATGTAATCATGATTTGAAATGTGAAACTCGAATCTAGGATCTTTAGTCTTGTAGGTGAATGTTTAACTTGTAGATCATGAAACTGACATTCAATGGTTTCAGTGTTTAACTTCAATAGATCCATGATCTTGTTAAATCTTTTATTTATTGTCTGATGTGGATAACTGTCTCCACTTAACATAGATTGAACTCCATTGGTCACGGTTATATGTATTTCTTGTAATTTATAGTCTCCATAATACCTCTGAACCACTATATCGTAATCCAATAGTTTATTCTTCTGATATAATACAATACAACTTAGATGATTCTACAGGTCAGAGTTGTGGCTGTTGTGAAGTCCATAAACTGAATCTAAACAATTTTTCAACGCTTCTTGCTTATTAAGAGTTTTTACATTAGAGAATAATAAACTTACTGTTTACAAAAAAAAAAGAAAGGCAAGATCTATACATGAGTTTTTAAGGTCGTGCGTTTGATCCCAAGCTGGATCGTAAGCAGAAACTACTAAAAAATTCCATACTGAGAATAAACAGATGTTCAGTGACTATTTGGTTTCTAATGGTTCCCTATTTGATATCCATTTTATGGCGAATATTAATAAGTTTTCTAATTGAACGCTAGATTCGGTTCTTAGCTTTCCTAGTAACTCACAGGCTAAATCTACACAGTGACTTGAACACGTGAGAAAAGACACGAAATATGGAAGAAAAGATTTACTCCAAAGTTCGTTCATGTACAGAAAATCTAGGGTATTTATAGTATTTTAGATGTCCTTAGTCTTCCCGGAAATCACTGGGATACTACTAAACATATTAGCAGCATAGGTAATCATCCAATCAGAAACTTGACATATGACTTTTTACTTTCTAGATGTTTCTGGCAAAACCCCGAATGCCCTGGTACGGCCGAGAGTGGGGAGAGTCCGCTCACCCTCTCGAAATGCTCTCACATGGTCACGCGTATATAGCATCTGCCAGGGAAGTCCTACTCACTACCTTCTAGTGGCTGTGTTGTTTACGAACTCGAGAGGACGAAAAGTGAATGTCCGACGCTTTAATCGGGCTGGTGGGCACAGATGGTCCACCTAGATGAGTTTGAAAACCCTGATTGCAGATCAATGGTGTACATAGGCTCCAGTATACTGAGGGGACAAATGGTGTATGAACCAATCGTTTGTCACCGGCTACTATAGGACTGAATCTCCTCACGATGCTCCACTGCCTTGTGGGTCAGACCTTTAGATCAAACGCTCTGGGTGTGGCCCCGCAAGAAAACCACCGGCTTTGGTTTGGGCACTCGGGCAGTATGGCAGCTCTCGCACAAATCAAGTGAAATTTGTGTGGCGCATATCTATTTGGTGCCCCATTGCACCAATATCTATGTGTTCAAATAATAATAATAATAATAATAATCTATTGAATGCTGATTGGATAAGATGCTTTATTAGAGTTTTCAGAACCCATTTTGGCATTTTTCGAGTGGTGTACTGAAATCTAACCGAAACTAGTTTGTCGTATGTGAAAATCAAATACTAAAAACTAACATTTACTTTCCACCATCATTTGCTTATCATTTAGTTTTGAAGTTATATCTCTTATTGATTAAGTTTATTAAACTGTACAGTAAATTATCCTTGGATAAATATCAAAAGCCCAATCTATACAAATTTAGATATGGGAAGACATAATGCTAAAAGTATTGCTCACATCATGTTTCAAACAGAATATCTGTTCGTACATGATAAACATTAAGTAACAAAATCTATGTGTAGACCTTCATTCCTGAACCTCTTCTGAAATAATATTCTAAACCGAGATTGTATGAGGCAGTTATCCATATTATGTGTTCGATGAAGGTTGCTCAATATAGTGAATTAATTAACATAGTTGAATATCAGCTCTACAGTTTAGAGACTTAAGGTCTTAAATCCGGTCCTTAGATGTTGAGTCTTTGATTCCCACTGTCTAGGAATCCTATGCTAGGATGGAACGTGTATCCAGTACTTCCAAGTTTTAGATGTTTGTCTAATTTGAATTAGTTCATGATCTCAATAAAATTACAAGTCAGTTCTTAGATATCATCAGTAAAATATTTTTCATCAATGATACTGGGTTAAATGGGGAATAGTACCCTTAGACACCAACTCACTGATCCTAATAGTTAGTCATTCATTTCTATACCCAAAGACTATGGGTTCAGTCCTTGACTGATTCATATGTATGAACTGTTATGGTTTTTCAAGATGAATGTGAAATGAAACGAAATAGTTAGAATTGTATAATAAAACAAACAGTTACCAGGTTGTTCAAAATCTGGATACATTTCTTTGACTAATTCACGTGTTTCTAATGAATAATCACGAGCTAATTCAGCAGCTTTTTTTGAAAGTTGCACTGCATTCTCAACTTTAGCTAAACTAAATTAATAAAAAAACAAATGAAACAAACAGCATAGGGTTGTGAAGATTATTAAGTTTTTGATTGAGATCGTGAACTGATTAATGTTAGAACATCATGGAAAACCTGAAGGCACTGGACAGCTGTTTTTTCCTATTGTAGGGCTCAGTAGTGAGCATCCACGATCCCGCCAGTGGGATTCGAAACTAGGGCCTTCAGTCTCGCGCGCGAACGTTTAACCTCTCGACTACTGAGCCCGCCGGCATCCAATAGTGTTAATGTCTAACTTCAATCAATTCCCGAAATCGAGCAACTATCTTCCATTGTACTGAGGTAGATACCTGTCTGTATTCAACACGGATTAGCTGCACTGGTCACGGCTTTTCACTAGAACTCTGAGAATCCCCTCAAGTGGATACGCACTGATGAGGAGTCTCACAATAGTACGAAACGGCCGTCCAGTACTTCCAGGTTTTCAATGGTGGTGTAACATCAATCGGTTCATGATTTCATTCAGAAAATAAATAATTAAATACGAATAAAATATGCCCGGAACTCTTCTAGGATCACTGTTGGTCCCAAGCATGAGTAAGGGAGAAGAGTTTATCATGAGGTTAACAACCTTGCTTAAGAAAATAATGCTAACCACAGTTAAAGGTTCTTTATATAGAAGAGTTATTATTATTATTATTGTTGAAATATACTTATATCTACTATCTTCGTATGTAATAATCGACTTAACAGGATTAAATAAGTCAAATACGAGAATGGATTTTCGAATACGTATATTTTGTACACTCATCGATCTTGGCAGACAATCAGAGGGACGAAGTGAAGGAAACGAAGAGAAGAGAGTAAAGCGAAATGAAGCGCGATGGAGAAGGCGTGTGCGCCAACTCCATTTAATCAAGCGTTAATCAATATTTATAGTCACACAAAAATAAGCTACACATATGTGATATATATGTTTATATAAAGAAGTGTATTTTCGACAAGTGTCATCTTGTTTTTGGAGTGATTAAATCTTTGACCTTCTTCATGGGAATTGTAGTGGTTCTTCGTTTTTAAGTATAAGAAATGGGGTGTCGCCGATACAATACAGTCAGGACTAGGATCCAGGTAAATGCAGATGAAGAGACTCAGATCAGATGAAAACTGCTGCTAACCACTATCTAACTTCAATAAAAGCTTATACTTAAATGATATTATCATAGTAATCCACTTGGAATGCACATGTGTGGTATCGGTTACTATGTTAAGCCCACACAACTTATTCTTACTTCTGGACAAGCCAATTTATCCATTCTTCTTGAGTCACGTTTTGACCTTATTAATGAATCGCTTACTAATCCTGATTACCTTTATATGAGCGTATTTATGTGCATTTCTTATACTACTCATCAGAAGTCTGTAGCTTACTTTTGTGTGACTATAAATATTGATTAATACTTGATTAAATGGAGTTAGCGCACCCGCCTTCTCCACTGCGCATCATTTCGCCTCGCTCTCTTCTCTTCGCTTGCTTCATTTTGTCTCTCTAATTGTCTTCCCAGAGTGATGAGTGTACAAAATATACGTATTTGAAAATCCATTCTCGTATTTGGCTTATTTAATTCCGTTATTCACTAACACGAGTTAAGTCGATCATCATTTACGAGGATTGGTGACATGTGTATTCCAATAACAATCATTCATATGATATAACTGGAGTGAGATATAGGGCCACTAAAGTGGTGAGCCCGTCGATAACATCATCGTCCGATCTAATTGGTGTTAAAATAAATGGCCACTAAACATATAGTACATAATAACGTTGGCTAACTAATCAATATCTCAATCGTTGAGATCATGAGTCAATTGAAAGTAGACCACTATGGAAAACCTGGAAGCAGTGCTCTAGAGCTTGAGAGTTCGCGCGCGAGATCAATAGGTCCTGGATCCGAATCTCGCAAGGCGGGATCGTGGATGAGCACTGTTGAGTAGTCCCATAATAAAACGAAACGGCCTTCTAGTGCTTTCAAGTTTTCCATGATGATCTAGCTTCAACTGACTGATGAACTCAACTATCAAGCAAAATAAATGAAATTAACCAACAACAAAAAAACAATCACTTCTTACTTCTCTCTAGCTTCATTGGCTTTAACGAAAGCATCATCAGCTATACTTCTAGCACGTTTTACAGCATTAGCCACTTCACGCATAATATGATAATTATATAATAATAAATATGATTTTGCTCCTTTTGGCCAAGATAAAAATACTAATTTACCATTTTGATATTTTCCTTGTTCGCATACTCCATCAGGAAAATGTGTTTGACCATAACCATGTCGTCGATTTTTCACCCATTGACCTTCATAAATAACACCATCAGATCGTTCACATACTCCATAACCATGACGTGAATCAGCTTCCCATTGACCAGCAAATGTTTCAACTGTTTCAGGATCGATAGCATCTACCTGAATATATATAAAAGAACAATAACTATCGATCACTGATAAAGGACCCAAACGTTTACACTTATTACTTCAGTTAATTCGAGGTATCTATCTTCACAACACAAGTAACTTGACAAGAAATACATTAGAGTCGTTGCTGAAGACTATGGAATAAATCTGAAGTATAAGTTATTCACTTACTGATCTTCTCAAAAGCATTAACTTGTAAGTTTATAGAGTGTTATTACTTCACGTACTAAAGGCAACTCGTTTTAATCTGTAATGATGTTTTCTATCATTAGCACTACGAATTGATCATAGTGAGATAAACATTGATAACTAAAAAAGGCTGCACAGCTGTTTCGTTCTAAAATATAATTCCTTGGATAAGTCAGTCAGTCAGTCAGCTGCAACGTAGGATCAGGCACGTATATGCATCGGTCCAAGTTGCCATACCGCATTAGCACAACAAGATGAACACCGAATTCATAGAAGTAGTTAATTCGGTGGTGGTAATATGTAGAAGAAAGAGTGTGTATAAGGAGATAGTACAGGAAGATAGAATTAGTTCGTAGAAAGAAAGATTTGAAGTGATTTTAATCTCTTAGTTTAAAGGAAGACAGAGAGTGTGATCGATTCTGAGCCATGTCACCAAGAGTCTCCAACCATTGGTTACGATAGTCACGCGGACCCCAACCAGGTAGTCTGCATCTACCAACATAGCTCAGACCAGAAGTTAGTGACTTCAAGCACTGATGCCACGTTTTGGTTTGGCCGCCCCTAACATTCTTCCAGTCATCCCTAACACCGGTTACCATTGCGCGTCGTGGTAATCTGTGTTCAGGCATACGCAGCACGTGGCCCAACCATCTCAGTCGATGAAGATTCATAACCTCATCAACTGATTTACCATCATTCCGTAATACCCTGCGTCTAACCTCACTATTACTTACCCGGTGATCCCAGCAGATGCGAGCAATATTTCTAAGGCATCTGTGGTCAAATACTAGTAACTTACGAATATCTTCTACTCTTAATGGCCAAGTTTCGCAGCCGTATAGTAGAACGGAACGAACTGCCGCGCAGTATACTCGTCTCTTAATTGATAGACGGATATCTCGCCTTCGCCATAGATGACGTAAATTGGCAAAGGCCAAGCGAGCTTTTCGAATCCGTGCTGAGATTTCGTCACGGATAAGTACTGTGATAGAGTCCCATGATAAGATCAACAACGGTTATTCAACATTTCTCTCTTTTCAATACTAATCTAACTTAGATCAATTCATTATTTCAATGATATTTATAAACTGTATTTAACTGTGAAACACCACCTGGAGTCCCTCTAGTGCTACAAACAATCTAAAGCCCGATGAAACAAAGAGGATTAGGCATAGAGTTAACAACTTTTATTCCGTAGAAAATTACGCTAATCAAAAATTTAACACTGAAAATAAACCATCAACATACTTGATCTAATGTAAATACGGATTCAGGTGTTTGTTCCACTTTCATTTTATCTCGTATTGAATGTTCTGTTACACTACCTTGACGTCGTACACATGTAATAGATTCTTTACTTAATGAACGATTAAATGGTTGCGCAATGTTATGGATTGATTGAAATTAGACATTAACAGTACTGGATGTCAACTCAGTGATTTCAAAGCTTAGCGTTCATATTCGAGACCAAAGATGCTGAGTTCGACTTACACATGAAGTGTCGTGTATGAGCACTGTTACCAAGTCTCAAGATAAGATCAAAAACGGTCATTCAACATTTCTCTCTTTTCAATACTAATCTAACTTAGATCAATTCATTATTTCAATGATATTTATAAACTGTATTTAACTGTGAAACACCACCTGGAGTCCCTCTAGTGCTACAGACAATCCAAAGCCCGATGAAACAAAGAGGATTAGGCATAGAGTTAACAACTCTCATCCTGTAGAAAATGAACTGACTAACCCAAAATTTTAACACAGAAAATAAACCATCAACATACTTGATCTAATGTAAATACGGATTCAGGTGTTTGTTCCACTTTCATTTTATCTCGTATTGAATGTTCTGTTACACTACCTTGACGTCGTACACATGTAATAGATTCTTTACTTAATGAACGATTAAATGGTTGCGCAATGTTATGGATTGATTGAAGTTAGACATTAACAGTACTGGATGTCAACTCAGTGATTTCAAAGCTTAGCGTTCATATTCGAGACCAAAGATGCTGAGTTCGACTTACACATGAAGTGTCGTGTATGAGCACTGTTACCAAGTCTCAAGATAAGATCAAAAACGGTCATTCAACATTTCTCTCTTTACAATACTAATCTAACTTAGATCAATTCATTATTTCAATGATATTTATAAACTGTATTTAACTGTGAAACACCACCTGGAGTCCCTCTAGTGCTACAGACAATCCAAAGCCCGAAGAAACAAAGAGGATTAGGCATAGAGTTAACAACTCTCATCCTGTAGAAAATGAACTGACTAACCCAAAATTTTAACACAGAAAATAAACCATCAACATACTTGATCTAATGTAAATACGGATTCAGGTGTTTGTTCCACTTTCATTTTATCTCGTATTGAATGTTCTGTTACACTACCTTGACGTCGTACACATGTAATAGATTCTTTACTTAATGAACGATTAAATGGTTGCTCAATGTTATGGATTGATTGAAGTTAGACATTAACACCATTGGATCTCAACTCAGTGATTTCAAAGCTAAGCGTTCATATTCAAGACCAAAGATGCTGAGTTCGACTTACACATGAAGTGTCGTGTATGAGCACTGTTACCAAGTCTCAAGATAAGATCAACAACGGTCATTCAACATTTCTCTCTTTACAATACTAATCTAACTTAGATCAATTCATTATTTCAATGATATTTATAAACTGTATTTAACTGTGAAACACCACCTGGAGTCCCTCTAGTGCTACAGACAATCCAAAGCCCAAAGAAACAAAGAGGATTAGGCATAGAGTTAACAACTCTCATCCTGTAGAAAACGAACTGACTAACCCAAAATTTTAATACTGAAAATAAACCACCAACATACTTGATCTAATGTAAATACGGATTCAGGTGTTTGTTCCACTTTCATCTTATCTCGTACTGAATGTTCTGTTACACTGCCTTGACGTCGTACACATGTAATAGATTCTTTACTTAATGAATGATTAAATAAATTTGTTAATGATTTTGATCGATGATTTGTTTTATTATGATTAAAATCTTTACGATATTTATTAAATGATCCACTACCTGTATTATTTAATTTATGTTGACGTTTTAACATTAATTCACTACGTTTTGATGATAATACAAAACCACATTTAAATTTACATGACATACGTAAATCTTTTAAATCTTTATTATAATTATTTAATGGATTTGGACGACGACCATAATATGGTTCATCATCATCATCATCTTCGTCATCATTATCATTACGAGGATGATGATGTTGATGTTTATCTTGTTCATTTAATTCTGGATCATCTAATTCAACTGCATCACCAGATCTTTGACTTAGAAGACTTCCACGACGTGTTCCTGTGTTGTTGTTGTTGGTGGTGGTGGTGGTGGTGTTATTGATTAGATGATGTGTACTATTATTATGATGATGATGAGTATGATGTGTTGAATTTAATAAATTTTGTAATGCTGTATGTTTTTTTATATTTAATGCAATTTCTGCAGCGATAGCAGCTTCTTCAGGGAAAAAATTGATTACTTCTCCATATGGTATAGATGTACGTACACCAAGTCCTTCACGTACACCATTTTTATATTCACCAGCATAACTTCCTATAATACAAAATAAGATAAGTATGTGTTTATTTCTATTATTTGGTGTTTAGTGTAAATTCAAGACTATATAAGTAACTCATAGCTATAACTTCAACATGGATCTAAATATGATCCTTTAGATATCTTAATTATAATGAAAGATTCATTGTGATAGAGAAAGAAAAAGATAGTAAGTAGTTTTGTCTGATATTGATTCTCATTTGGAATATATCTGTCAATTATAAGCAAAGATGGATAGTGGTTAGCAGTGGAATCTAGGACTCGTCAGCTGGATGTATCTGCATCTCAGAGTTGATGTTCACTCCAGGACTCGAACCCAGTACTGTCCACTTCAAACACCATCGCGTTATCCACTTAGCTACTGAGTCCTAATAGCCATTGGCTTATGCAATGGGATGAAGTTTAAATTCACTTAATGTTGTTTTACTTGAATCTTCCCATTGATGTTTAGGACTGCAATGGATCAGTCTCTCATATTGGCATATGTGCATACTGTGCGTATTGCCTCGATATTGATTCCACTGCAAGCCACTATCCATCTTTGCTGAGAATGCTTATAAATTAAGGCAATATCGAGGCAATACACACAGTATGCACATATGCCAATATGAGAGACTGATGAATTGCAGTCCTAAACATCAATGGGAAGATTCAAGTAAAACAATATCAAGTGAATGTCTATCAATTGTTCTTTATGTATGACATTACATTTTGTTAACTTCATCTGTAGAACTTCTAGGTTTATTGTAGATGTCAAGCCTGGATAAAGAATAAGGATTTTGTATGAGAACAGCAATCTCATTTCGTAGATTATAATCTTGCTAAGAAAAATAAACAACACCAATCATACTTGTTTGAAAAATAGTAACATTAATAATATGATTCATTATCAAGTCATTTACCTTTTTCAATATTTGGTAGAAATTTTATTACAAATGCCCCGGTACGGCTGACAGTTGGAAGAGTCAGCTCCCCCTCTCTAAATGCTTTCAAATGGTCACGTGCATACAACCACTATCAGGGAAGTCCTATTTATTGCCTTCTTTCGACATTACTCTTGTTTATGAAATCAAGAGGACGAAAAGTGAATATCTGACGCTTTAACCAGGTTGGTGGACACGGACGCTCCACCTAAGGGAGTTGGAAAACCTTGATTCCAAACCAATGGTGTACATGGGCTCCAGGATCCTAAGGAAATAAATAGCATATGAACCAATTGTTGGTCACCGGCCACTATGGGACTCCATCTCCTGACGTTGCTCCATTGCTTTGTGGATCAGACCTTTAGGTCGAAAGCTCTGAGTGTGGCCCCTTAAGAAAACCACCTGTTTTGGTCTGAGCACCCGAGCAGTATTCCAGCCCTCACATAAAACGAATGATTTAAGTGGAGCATATCGATAATAAATCTCGATAGAGACTCGTTAGATATAAGTAGATAATTGGGAGAAATAGAACTCTTAGAACTATCCTATAAAGGAATAAGCATTTGTGGATATTGTAATAATTTCAACAGTTGAAGCTAAACCACTAATAAAAACCTTGAAGTACTGGACGGCTGTTTCGTCTTATCATGGAACTCCACATCCACTATCCCATCTCGTAAGATTCGAACCCAGGACTTATCAGTCTCGCACGCGAACGCTTAGCCTCTAGACCACTGTACTGGCCAGTATCCAACGGTAATAATGTCTAACTTCAACTAATCCACGAAATTGAGCCACACATCTACCATTTTCTTCAGTGAGTTACTATCTCACAACAGACCCTGTTGAACTCCACTGGTCACTGCTTCTTCTTAGAACCCTAGGAAATACCCATTGAAGCCAGTCAGTAGTGAGCATATATTGATTGGTATCAGAAACGGCTTTTTGGATATTATAGCAATTTCAATAGTTGAGATCATGAGTCAATTGAAGCTAGACCATCATAAAAATACCTGGAAACATTGGACCCCCGTTTCGTCCTATTGTGAGACTCCTCAACAGAATAAGAAGAAAAAAGAAGTCGAATTCAAATTCACAAGATGTAAATCACTAGAACTTGTGGATGATATAAATGGATTTCGATATAATTAAGCATATCTTTAATCCATCATGTCTAAAAATGTTATGTTCGATTATAAACTAGTTTAATTCACTTAGAATTCCATTTCATTTAGTGAAAAGTTTAAAAGAGAAATAGTAAGACTATAGTGTGACCTACTTATATTCACATAAGTAGTATAAAACGCTAATCAACAATAGAATGTATTTCAGTGGAAGATCAAGAAAGAATAAAACGGGCATGGAAAGTAATTGATATGAAAATGCAGGAATAATGAAATCTGAGACGATGGATTGCTATTTTACAAATTATCTATTTACGGTATGGTTCTCAGATTTTAGTAAGAACTTTTGTACATTCGGTTGTTCCCACTCGTGTGCTTGTTCACTATAAAACAATAATTTATGGACAAACCAATCAGATTTAAGATAAAAGGTTTTAGATTTTGCCGCGAAATCTGCTGACCCCTTTGGATAAATAGTGTCTTAATATTTTGGCTGATCGTAGATGCACACTGATGAGGAGTCCCACAATAGGACGAAACAACCGTTCAATACTTACAGGTTTCCCATGATGGTCTAACTTTAATTGACTTATGAATTCAATCTTCACAAAACTCCCTTTCTGATATGATACATTAATTCATTAGAAAAAGTGTAAATAATACCGTTGAATATATATTCACTTATATGTATGCAAAATGTTACACTTTCATTTCTATTTACACTATAATGTGATGGATAATAAGCAAAATCTGATAATTAGGTAATAATTCTATAAGCTGATAAACCATCCACTCAATGTGATCTCTATGATCATTGACGTTGTCAATAAATTTTAAGCATTTTTTTTTGTTTTGTATATATAAGTACGCTCTTCTATCGCACACACAACAACAAATGCAGGAGAAGACAACCAGTGTAGCTGCAGCCTCAGCAGCAATAGGTCTCAATATACACAAAGGGAAAAGCAAGATTCTTCGATACAACACAACATGTACCAATCCAATCACAATTGACGGAGAAGCTTTGGAAGATGTAAAAACCTTTACATATTTGGGCAGTATCATCGATGAACACGGTGGATCTGATGCAGATGTGAAGGCACGGATTGGCAAAGCAAGAGCAGCATATCTACAACTGAAGAATATCTGGAACTCAAAACAATTGGCAACCAACACCAAAGTCAGAATTTTCAATACAAATGTCAAGACAGTTCTACTGTATGGCGCGGAAACCTGGAAAACTACGAAATCCATCGTCCAAAAGATACAGGTGTTTATTAACAGTTGTCTACGCAAAATACTTCGGATCCGTTGGCCGGACACTATTAGCAACAACCTACTGTGGGAGAGAACAAATCAGATCCCAGTGGAGGAAGAAATCAGGAAGAAGCGCTGGAAGTGGATAGGACACACATTGAGGAAAGCACCGAACTGCGTCACAAGACAAGCCCTCATATGGAACCCTCAAGGTCGAAGGAAGAGAGGAAGACCAAAGAATACATTACGCCGAGAAATGGAGATAGATATGAGAAAAATGAACAAGAATTGGATGGAACTTGAAAAGAAGGCTCAGGACAGAGTGGGTTGGAGAATGCTGGTCGGCGGCCTATGCTCCATTGGGAGTAACAGGCGTAAGTAAGTAAGTAAGTATATATAAGTACGCAATTTTGTTGATAGGTGCAGTCAACTTGATCGGTGTCCGCGTGATTACCGTAACCAATGGTTGGAGACTCTGAGTGACATGGGCTCAGAATCGATCACAATGGTGTAGGTGTATACATTCACTGTCTTCCCTTAAACTATGAGATTAAAATTGCTTCATATCTTTCTTTCTACGAACTAATTTTCTCTTCTTGTACTATATTCTTATACACAATCTTTCTTTTATATATTACTACCAGTGAAATAACTACTTCTATGAATTCGGTGTTCATCATGTTGTACTAATGAGCCATTTCAACTTGTACCGATGCATAGATGTGCCTGGTTCTACGTTTTGGCTAACTGACTAACTCATTATAAATCTGAATAGTGTTTTCTAGATAAACTGAGGAACTATAATCATGGTGAGAAAAAAAACTGTATTTCAGTAGTGTATTGTAAAATGAAAGTTTGGTCAGTTAACCAGTATGTTATAACTAACAAGATATTATATGTTATATGAACTATGCAGTTGATCACCTGATGGGATACAATTAATTTGGCTTCATAATCACAAATCCGAATAAATGACATAAGCTAATAATGAATGAATATCTGATAATAGAATAACTGATTAGTAAAAAAGTGATGAGTCGTTTTAATATAACAAAATTACGTCAGTCAGTCAGTCAGTCAGTCAGTCAGCTAAAACGTAGGACCAGATACATATATGCATCGGTCTAAGTTGCCACACGTCATTAGCACAGAAAGATGAACACCGGATTCATAGGAGTAGTTAAGTCAATGGTGGTAATATATGAAAGAAAGATTGCATCTAAGGATATGATACAGGAAGAAAGAATTAGTTGGTAGAAAGAAAGACATAAAGCAATCTTGATCTCATAGTTTAAGGGAAGACAAAAAGTATATACATCTACGCCATTGTGATTGATTTTGAGCCATATCACTCAGTCTCCAACCATTGGTTACGATAATCACACAGATTCCAACCAAGTAGTCTGGATCTGCCAATAAGGCTGAGACTAGAAGTTAGTGACTTCAGGTGCTGATGCCACATCTTGGTTTGGCCACCCCTAACTTTCTTCCATCATCCCCAACACCAATTAGCATTGCGCGTCGTGGTAATGAACTATTAAGTAGATAATAATGATAGTAATCAAATAATCATTAGAATTTATGAAGCACACTGATCGATATTACGGTTTACCTGGTAACTCCTTAACAGTATGTAACCATGACTTCATATCGATCATAAAATTTTTTGCAAAACTCAAACGGGTAATTATGGAGACTAACAGGAATAGGTATATAAATATTGTTCGTAACTGATCTTCTTTGAATATTTTTTTTATCATCCTTCGATCTTGAATATATAGATACTATCTTAACTTAAACATTCCAAGACTTATAGGATTCAAATTCGTTAATAGTCAACAGACACATTAACATAGATCTGATCTACGAATCTATATAAACACTTCAATCAATCACAGGGTTGAAATTCAATCAAACAACAGAGTTAATAAGAATGAAACTATAAATAAAGACAATGAAAAGTTGATTTCTTATCTGTAGAATATGTGAAAAGTTTACTTCTACGTAAAATAGGCATTAGTGACAGTGTCCAGAACGATATTGAAAGGTTAATCCTTCAATCATCTAAATCAATAAACACCACTCCTTTCAAAAAAAAAAAAAAAACATCCTCTTTAATTGTAAATCTATATCATTATATATACACACATTAGAAAAAAAAAGGGGGGGGAGCCAGAATTGAAAAGAATTATATAAAACAACTTACCACCATCAGCATAAGTTTCAACACCAAAACTAGGAAAACCATTTTCAAATTCACCTTCAAATCTTCCAATTGAATCTTCTTTACATTTTATTCCACATTTAATAAAATCATCTTTAAATTGTCCCATAATAACCCAATCTTCTCTAGTAAATATTCCATATCCATTACGTCGATTATTTGCCCATTCACCTTCATACATAGCACCTGGTGCATTTGGCCATAAAAATACACCACTTTTCTCTGAACCAGAATCCCATAATCCAGTATATTCACCTTGACATTTATCTTTTGTAATTAAACCTAAACCAACAGCTTTCTCATTTAACCATTCACCAATATATAATCCAGAATCTTTAAATTCATATCGACCAGCTGGTAAACAGGTAGCTTCAGTTTTTACTAAATCCATATTATTATATTATAACTTTCACATAATTAAATATCATTATACAACCTTATTTGTAATAGATAACCGTTATTGTTTATGGTTAATACACAATTGATAATCTTTATTACTAGTGTATACTACTATTCAAATTAGTCTATACCATCTCAAGGGAAGCTTTATAATAACAGATCATTTAGTCAATCACATAAATGACATAACTATACTACTATCAAATGAATCCAAGATATAATTTATAAGATAGTTTGGAATGTATGACACATTATGTCCTTAATTTCAGCTTCCTTATTTATTTGCTATTTTTTTTTATAAAAAAAAATTTTTTTCTGTTTTATAAAATTAACACCTGATTGGTTGGTTGTTTTTAAATTAACCAATCAAATCAATGAAAACTTTTCATGATGTTTATATACTATCTTCTGATTGGCTAATTGAATTGCACAATACATATTTATAAGATAATCAAATTGACCATATGTGTTTTGTAACCATATAAGGGATCAATAGGTAACTGGGCAAGCAGGACATTAATACCGATCGATAACACACACACACACACAAAGAGGGAAAGAGAGAGAGAGAGAGATGGCATTTAGTTAAAACATATGATGAAAAGAGAGAATAATTTGGCAATAAACTATGTTTTGTACTTTCATAAAATGCATAGAAACTCCTACATAAAAATCATTAAATATATCTATATAAGTAAAAGAAACATTATATACATTTCTATTTTTCTTATAGATTAGTTAAAAATCATCAAAATTAACATGGTTACAAAGAATAATTAATAAAATTTGGCAATAATTATAATTCATTACATTTAATAGTGTAAATCTATATGCCATGAAGAGTGAATAAAGAAACAAAATGAACATTTTTGATAACATTTTGTTCACTGAGTTGAATGGTTTGGTTGTAGAGTTTTCATTATTCTTCTGAACGACATCATCATCATCATCATCATAAACTTCACGTAGAACTTCAAACTAAACTATCCAGCTCAGAGAACAGAATTCTAGTAAAATCATCTACCTGACCTACAAAATCTTCTACATTATCTTACAAACTATGATATATGAACAATTATGGTTAGTTAATTAGAATGGAATAGATTACATAACAAATCAAAATTTAGTATTTCGTAATAGAAGCTAAAAAGTCTCTTCGTATGTATCTAATTCATTCTTTAAAAAAAAAAGAAGAATTCCCTGAAAATAATTCATTATTGTCTGGTAATGATAGGAGTGAAGATAAAAGAACTTTTTTAATTAGAACATTCTAATTTATGTAGGAAATTGATAACAAATTATTACTTATATAGTAGTAGTAGTAGTAGCAGTCATCGTCGTCGTCGTAGTAGTGGTGGTGGTAGTAGTATCAGTAGTAGTAGTCGTAGTGTTAAGATCTCAATCAAAAACTTGACAATCTCCACAACCCCTAAACTGATAATTACAATGTGCTCACTAGTGACTAGCTTCGTAAGAAAATTCTCGGAATTCTGGTGTGAAGTCGTGACCAGTGGAGCTAATCCGTGTCGGGTAGAAACAAATGTCTACCTCAGTACAATGGAAGATGGTCGCACAACTTTGTAGATTGGTTGAGGCTAGACATTAACACTGTTGGATGCCGGCCGGCTCAGTAGTTGAGAGGTTAAGCGATCGCACATGAGATTGAAGGCCATGGGTTCGAATTCCGTGAGCGGGATCGTGGATGCTTACTACTGAGGAGTCCTACAATAGGACGAAATGGCCGTCCAGTGCTTCCAGGTTTTCAATGGTGGTCTAACATCAATCGGTCCATGATCTCAATCTAAAACGTGACAATCTCCACAACCCCTAAACTGGTAAGATAGATTATTAACCTTTTGGATAGGTTACATAGACGAATGACTTCGTATAGATGACTGTGGTAATTAGAAAATAGTATGTGTCTATCTCGTCTATACCCAAAACTTTAATCCCATGATATCTAGGTCTGATGAAAACCACTGTATCTTTAAACCATTAAACGTGTCCAAAATTTTATACATTCGATTTAAGTTATTTTGTAAAATTATATGGTCATTATTTAATATCAGTCGTCTATGCAATTGTATACACAAGATACTCAATATCCGTTGACCAGATACCATCAGCAACAGCTTACTATGGTATAGAACAAAATTAGGAAAAAATTATAAAATATATTGGAAGTGGATAGGATACACATTGTGCGAATCATCAGACTGTATCAGGACGCAATCGCCAACTTGAAATCGTGAAAGGAGGCGGAAAAGAGGGACAAACTGCGTCGGGAATTGGAAGCAGACATCGAAAGGATGAATAACAACTGGAAAGAACTAGAAAGAATTATCCATGACAGAGCTTGGTGAAGAATGTTGAAGGAAAGCTTATGTTTCTCCACGAGGGGTAAGAGGTGTAAGTAAGTAAGTAGTTTAATATAATCAGTGATACATATTTAACTCTGTAAATGACTGAACTCTACTATATTTTAAATGATAGATTAGGTTGAAAAGATGGCAAAATAATCTAGCGTTTGCATTTGAGTTTTTCAACATTATGCGTCATAACAATTTATTAATTTTTTATAAAAGCCAGTGGCTACATATTACTTACGCACGCCAATTACCCATCATGGAGGAGCATGAGTCGCTCATCAACATTTTTTATCGAACTCTGTCCTGGGTAAATCTTTTCAGTGCTTTCCAGTCGCTCTTCATCCTTTGGATGCATGTTTCCGATTCTCGTCGCAGTATGTTCTTTGACCTTCCTTCTTTTCGTTTCACTCCAGGATTCCTAGTTAGGACTTGCCCCGTGATACAGTCTAACGAATTCCGCAATGCATGTCCTATCCATTTCCATAGTCTTTTCATAATTTCCTCTTCAGTTGAAGGCTGGTTTGTTGTCTCCCACAGTAGATGTTGCTGATAGTATCCGGCCAAGGGAGATTGGGTATCTTACGAAGACAACTGTTTATAAATACTTGTACCTTCTTCATGGTGTTTTGAGTAGTTCTCCACAATTCAGCTCCGTACAGTAGGACAGTAGGACGCTTATATTAAAGATTGTAACTTTGATATTGGTTGACAGCTGTTTTGAGTTTCATATGTTCTTCAGTTATAGGAATGCTGTCCTTCTTTAGCATATACATATAGTTAGCACTTATAACTATTTCGTCAAAACAATTTTGATATAATGGGACTTATCGTAATACTACATACTGTTGAATAGGCAATTATTCGTTTTAAAATATCGCTAATATTGTTCATGATTTATTGAAGTGTTATTGCTATACTGAAGATCTTTGTAATAATCATTCTTTTGTAATGATAAGGTCTTTATTTTTTAGTAGACATGATCAGTAGAGTCAAATTGTGTCTGTTGTGAGGCAGTTACTCACTGAAGACAATGGTCGACGGTCGCACAATTTCATGGATTGATTAAAGTTAGACATTAATACAAGTGGATGTCAGCTCAGTGGTCCAGAGGTTAAGCGTTCTCTCGCAAGATCAATAGGTCCTATGCTCGAATCCCGCGTGAGGGATCGTGTTTCCTCACTGTTGAGGAGTCCCATACTAGGACTAAACGGCCATCCAGTGTCCCCAGGTTTTCCATGGTGGTCTAGCTTAAACTGATTCAGGAATTCAACCATCAAAATCACTAAAATTTCCACAAACCCTGATTGTGACAATAATTTATAGACGGACAACTTTAGATAAAACTTAAACAGAATTAATTTTATATGTAGTGGCTAACAAACATAAAACTACTGTCAACTAATAAGTAGTGAATGTTTTAATTTCTTTTCTCATCTCATAGATTATTCTCGGATTCATATATCACATTAATTCGAAGATCAAAAATCAATGCATTTTCGATGAACGCGGAAGATTTCAATCCATCATATGGTCAAAGGTCAAGTGACCAAGGAAACGATCAATCAGATTTTGTAAAAATAATCAATCACAAACAATGTTATCAGCACAAAGTCACTTGGTGTTGTTTACTTGTATCTTCCCATTGTTATTTAGCACTGCAATTAATCAGACTCTTATTGGCATATGTGTATTCTCTGCAGGTGGCTATCAGGACTCAGTAGCTAAATGGACTTTTGAAGCGAACACTATTGGATTCGAGTCCCAGAGTGAATATTAACTCTGAGATAAAGATATCCAGCCAAAGCCTCTCAAGCAGGACGAAACGCTCGTCCTGGATTCCACTGCTAGTCATCATCCATCTTCGCCTATAAAATTCATGGAACAGTTTTTTTTAGGAGTTTACGCCTATTCAAAATAAACATTGGTGTTCATGTCATCTACAATAACAGTAAATTACATTATTCAGTTCAAATTAATCAAAAACACAGGAAGTGTAGTGAACAAGAACACAAATGGAAGACAATTGAATGTATCTGATCACAAAATTACAGAACCACATAGTAAATACTTCATTTGTAAAATATCAGTCAATCGTCTCAAACTTCACTTTTCCTCCACTTCTATACCAATTGCTTTCTGTTCCCGATCTTCCCTCTTCGATCTTTACAATCTTCTTCTGCCAGACATTTTACTGCTGACTTGCGTTATATACTTGATAATTCTTGCGATTTGAACGCTATACTCTGTTCCTAAGCTATTCTTGTAAACCTCCAAGCTAGAACTATACAGCGACCTGAACACGAGAGAGAAAGTGCAAAGTGTGCAAAAAGTACTTTACTCGAAGATTCATTCTAATACAGAAAACAGAGGGTTTTTATAATATTCTAAATGTCCTTGGGTTGCTCGAAGATTCTGGAATGCTACTAAACATAGTAGCAGTATAACAATCAACCAATCAGAATCTCTACATGTGACATTTCTCATCCTTGACGTTTTCTGGTCAAACTCTAATTGAATGCTGATTGGATGAAATGCTTCATAATGTTTCCTGAACCTTGCGTGTCTTTTGCCAGGATTTTTCTGGATTATCCCAACAATACTACTTAAGTAGCACACACCACAAAACAAATCAAATCATAATGTAAATTACTTTAAATAATGAAAATCACGAAACAAACATCTACACTTCTTCTGAAATGATCTAATTGAATTGATGTTACGTTTCACTGTAAAACCGAATGCTTTGAATTGATATTTGCGTTAAGTTAAACTCTCAATAATTAGATGTAAATAATGCACATATACACATTTTCTCTCTACTTTGCTCAGTTTCAATAAAAGCAACAACTTCTAAACGAAATTCAACTATCTCCATACTTCTCAA